ACCATAAGGGCGAAGACGCGGTGTTCTGGCCGAATCTGGCGTCGGCCCACTACTCGAAGCGATCGTTGGAGGAGATGGAGCGGCTGAATATCCGTGTAGTACCCAAGTCGGCGAACCCGCCCAACGTCCCCCAGCTGCGTCCCATCGAGAATTTCTGGGCCAACCTGAAGCGTAAGATCTACTCCAACAATTTTGTTGCGAAAACTGAGGAGGAATTGATAAATAAAACGAAGAAAGAACTCAAAAACATGCCTACACTAATGTTTTCGTCCGCCATGGCGAATGTTCCGGTTAACTGCTTTTTGCAAGTAAGCTTAAATAATTACCTTCCATGGGAAATTTATCAAAAGAAGTTATCTGTCTTACCTTTTTTTATCACCATGCGAAAAAAGTCCATTTTTTAACGCAAACGTTATTAGATGCTAGATGAAAGCTTCTTTTAAGGTTAAGATAGCCGTATGGATACAAAGAGAAAATCGACGAAGAGAATCTGTCAATCACAGACAAACAGACATAACACATTGAATATTTCTCACTGTAAAACATTACCGCCATCTGTTGAATACAGTGTGGTGGGTAGTACGCTGAACAGATGGCGGTAGTGTGTAAACGTCAAACACAAGGAAATTGAATATGCGCGCCACAGGTGGCGGTACTACCAACTACGATACTTTTAAATTGACCGTTAAATGCTTGTTCGATGAACAACTTGCGACTGTTATGTCTGTTTGTCTGTGTGTCAATGTTACTTAGGACCAGGGCTGTCATCTGATCACTCAATGTGTGTAATGTACGGATTTTCTGAAATAAGCAAAGTGAGAATCAAGCAATCACAAAGTTTGCTTGTCTTTCACCCTGCGCAAGTGTAAAGCAGCGGAGAAGAGAAGACAGACACACACCCAGAAATAACGAAAGCTCAATGTGTAGCCATCGCTCCGACGGCTCCGACGCAAAGATCGCCACTCAGTGCGAGACGGTTTTATGACAAGTGGGCAGGAACTCACGGTCTCCCAGTGTTGGTGAGTTCTTTGCCGTTAATGTTCACGAAAATTTCACTATTGTGCTATACAGAAATTCAAAACAAAATTTTTTATCTGCGGATTTTGACTGTTTTGGACCTGTTTCATACCACCGGAAGGTGTATGCTGGTCACAAATGCAATGCCAAACTGATTTCCTACGCAATTATTCTAGCTTTGATGTGAATTTCGCTAATAAACACGAGGAGCATTTCTTATCCAGCTTTCCATGCTCGGTAATGGCGACCTGTATGTATGAATAAATGTATCCTTCACTGTCATTTTTGACACTAACTGGAGGGCGTATGTTGTTCCATTTTCTTCTGTTCCTGGAAGCGGGAAAGGGAGGGGTCAAAATCCGAACATCCAGATAGTGTCAAAAAGTACAGTGAAGGATACATTTATTCATACAAACAGGTCGCCATTACCGAGCATGGAAAGCTGGATAGCAAAACTTGCCATAACAAAATGGGCGATTCATTTTAGTAAACAAACTAACACTTCTTCCGACTGTGGCACCTATGTATTAGGCGCCTAGCACTCAGTGTAGGGTTGCAAATGGGAAACCCAGCAAAAAGACAAAATTCTTCTTCATTATGCTCTTTTTCATCTCCTATGCATGCAGTCGTGGTAAGCAAAGTCTGCAAAGAATTCAAAGAAGACATTAGCGCTTGTTGTAGTATATTCACTCCCTGCGTCGCACGGAGTGTAGTGTAGTTGGAAAAGAGTGCGCGCACACTCTTTGTCGAGTGTTGTGAGATGTATGCACAAAGTTGCTTTGCTATCGCTCAGAGGTGCTTTCCAGCCCTGCTTAGGACCTAATGCAATGTTCAGCTTGACATATTCCAAAGTCCAAAGAACTTCAGGAAAATTCAGTGGTCATTTGTTTAAGGCGAATTGAGAGAAATTTAGGGAAGCTTAGAGAACATCAGTACAAATCAATTAATTTCAAGGATATTCAAAGTTGGTTGGAAATGCTAACATGAAGCTTAAGTGTGATGATTTATTAGCTAGAGAATGATCTTTAGAAGAGGGTTGGTGGATAGTTCCGTTAGAGTACGGCAGTATGAAAATTGAATAGAAGTTGAAAATGAGCGAAGGGCCATTAATGCGACAGTTTTTTGAAGATAGACGCACATCTTTTGCCTAACCCGTACGATGTACCTAACCCGTACGATGTTCAAGGATATTATTAAAACTTTAAAGGACTTCCGAGAAACTCAGGGAATTTTCGAAAACTTTTCTATCGAATTCTTCCAGAAGTCTTCCTGTGGAAGTTCCTCCATAAGCCATTCTCTGTTGTGTTTTTTTTCCGACTTCTATTGGAAGGTTTTTCCGAGCATCATCTGGCATTCCATGGAACTGACTACTCCTGGAATTTGCTTTGGATTTCCGAAGTTGGTCTGGCTTCCTCTGGATATGTTATCAGATTTTTCCGAATGGTTGGTTAAATTTTCGCTAGAAGTTTCTCAATATTTGTCCAGGCAGTTCCCCTGATGTGTTTCCGACTTTCCATAGGACTTACTTCAAACTTCCTCCAGAAAAGCTTCTATATTCGTTTCCCTGGAAGTTTTATTGGCAACAATCTGGCAACGCTGCCCACCACCCCTTGGTCCATTCGGTTCAGTATACACGGTAAGAAAAAAATACCCAACGGCCAGTTCACTTTTACCTACTTTTGACTAGTTTGTCTTCTTTTCTCCTTCTGTTGTCAAAAACGGAGGAGCAAAACCACCCAACAGGGGTAGGAAAGTGTGGCAACCCAAGCTTCAGTGTAATCATATTTACCTACTTTTGGGTACAACTAACTTACTTTTGGGTAGAAAGCTAGAGGAAAATTCCATACGAATTGCACACAAGTAAATGAAAACTACTCTGACCCGCTTTACCTACTTTTGGGTTCCTGCATCAAAGTGCCGAGATGAGTGAAAAGTATTTACTTTTGGGTACTTTTTTCTTACCGTGCATGTGTCTGCTACTCGACGTTTGTTTAGATGCATTCCTGTCTCAATTTGCTTTCAACGCTCCCTTTCAAGACTTGCTGAAAGATTTTTAACGACCAAATACATTAGCCAAATTTACAGAATATTAACTCACTTTCCTGAATCTAATACAAACAGCCTTGATGACACAACTTCAGTTAATTACTAACGAGTTGCTTGCGTTTTTATGTATCAGTTGACGATTTAATGAAGTAGGGGCAGACGGGGCAAGATGCCCACATTGAGCAAGATGAGCACCATTGAATTTTACATAAAAAATCATTTATTTTTAGAATCTGCACATACGTACCTATCAGCAATGATCCCAAAATGCAACGTTCCAATAACATTATTTAGAAATAATATTCAAGAAACTGATGAAAATTTGCAAACCGAAAAAAATCCCTTTGTAATAAGAATGTGCAATAGTCCATAAACCTTTTTTGATAAACTAAATACCGTGGGCCCCCGGTATCTGAACACTTTTTAATTTGAACCCCGCTAAATTGCACGCCGTGTAAACCCTAAAATGTTTGAACCATGGAACGTTGTAAAACAGAACGTAGAATCAAAACAAAACTGCAAAAAAGGCTACCAGAAACACGACTTTCTCATGTTCATAGGGTTACTAGAAGTTCAAATTAAAAATGAACCCCGTTAATATGAATGGAGTGTCGTTCAGATTAGCGGGGGTCCAAAATCAAACAAATCATATCAAAACGGTGTCTGAGGCTGTGTTGCATTTGGTGTTTTATCACTTATATTTGACAGATGCAATTTTTTCAAGTAAACCTGCTATTCCAGTAGCTTATTTCTGACACAATAGGAATCAATTTTTGCAGACACCGTCTCGAAACTCGGCTCAAAGGCATTTTCGAAGTGTCAAATTTAAGTGAAAATTCACCAAATGGAACACAGCCTGAAAAGGGTTACTTTTTAATTTATTGAAAAAAAATCCAAAATTGATCACATTGAATTGTATTAACGCATAGGTGCTAGAACAGACACGAAAGAACTAGCGTAGGGAATGCTTCAATGTATTAATTGCAATTATTACATATACAAATGATTAGCGTAGCCATCTTACCCCGTCTAACCCTATGACCGTTATAGCGAAATAATCATCAGAACAAGAATTGCGCTCTTGAGTTCATCTCCGGTGAAACAGATTTAATGTCAGTGCAAAAATATACAAAAGAGCAAAAAAAAAACAAAAACGACTTAGCGTTGATAACAGGCCACAATAATTCCCATAGTACCACTGTGTATAAAATTCCAAGCCGCGTAGATTGCTATCCAAGCAAAAATTCTAGCTGATAAGGGAACGCTTCGCTTGCGCTGCCATGCCGTTTCTCTGTCTGGGTGTTTAAGATCCAAGATTCCATGTAATTGTACCTGTTGGGTTGTTGTGGGTCAAGTTCGTAAATCTCCCAATTAGCTGCTATTTAGAGATAACTGCACTGGCTGTTGGTTGGTGTTATCTTATCGTGCGGCCGGATTCAATAATTAGCCCTATTTGCAAGTATAAGGGATTATATTGCAAGATATTTCCGTAATTGTGGCATTTACGTTTCGTTCTTCGTTGGTCGTTGTATCGTTATCTCGCACGACCGCAAAAGCATTTTTGATCGAATTCGTTGTTTCACAACCAGAACCAGAACCAGCACAACAACTCGCTTTACGTTGTGAGTCAAAGAGAAATTTGATTAACTGAATCGAACAACGAGATAGGCCTTTCTGACGCACTGTGGAGCAATCCACACGACAATCATCCAGTCCAGCAAGCATATGATATCTGTCTGCATTGTTAAACAAATCGCGAAGCAATTAAATCTTTCCGACTTTCGGCGATTTCCTTATCAGTGCTTAGTCTCACACCTCCAATAGGAATTGCCTCAAAGATTATGGCAATCAATCATCACCCGCCAGATAATAGTAACTATCAACAGCTTTAGCGTCAAAATGTGCGGGTAGTTTCTACGCGAGCTACTACAACTTACCCATCGATCCAATCGACATCGAGATGGAGGTGGATCCCGAAGGGCCTTCACCCGGCGACAGGGGACGAATCGCACCGACGTTGTTCTCCAACGGTAGTGACGGTACCCGGTCGAATGCGGTTGCCGAATTGTGATTACTGTTCGAGGATGGAGACCCCACGGCCCCAATCCGTCCCAGTTGATCCCGTTCAATATAATCATCACTGGAGTCTGAATCCGAGTCTGACGACGAAAGTGGTCCATCAGTGGCTGCCGAAACGAAGGTCTCCCCAACCGAAGGCGATCGAGACAGGTCCACACCGATCGCGTTTGGACTAAGACTATTGTCGAATCGACTGTCACTGATACCACCGGCGTAATCTTCCGACAGCTGCTTTGGTTGCTTCCCGGGACTGGAACCCGAAAGACCACGTGACGTCATAACCATGGCAACCGAAGACGATTCCATCCTCACTGGCATCTCCCGTGCTTGACGTGATGCTATATCGATTTTCTTCGCTCTTCTCAAGGCTTCACTAAACAACACTTCTTTTTTTTATTTATCCTGACATCCAACCAGGAAGCGATCGATATTTGATTTCTTTCCCGTGCTTCCGTTCACTTCAACACTGATAGATTGCGCTACTGTTTGGAAGGCTAATCTACCTATGTTATGACTCAATTAGCTTGCACTTTAACGCACTTATTATTCGCTAGACGTATCAGCTTCGGATCTCCATAGCACCTGCCACAGCTGCTTCCAAGTGCAGTAATTACCTCGCTGCTATGCTACCGCAAGTAATCATCCATCAAGGTTCAAGACCGATTAGCTTCAATATTAGTGAAACTAGGTAGATAGATTGAGTTAATAGTAATTCGTGCAAAAACTTCTTGCAGCCAACAGCTTTCAAGAACACTTTCCACTATGTTTTAACCAAGAAAACAATCACGACCAACACATTCATTAGGATGTTGATTGAGTTTTAGGACCTACGTGCCTCCTTAGTCCTCACACTACACACACGATACAAAACGAGCACAACGGCGATGGGTGCTTGGCAGCGAGCGTTCAGAGAATGAATGAAGTAGACGCTACATTCGCTCGTACTTTTTGTGACCACCAGACTATATCGTCTGAGAGAGCGTCGGTCTCTCGCGTTTACGCGTCGCTCTCACGCTCTCACTACATCCAGGATCCGACTGTTGCGAGAGGAAGAAAACGATTTTTATGCTGCCAGGATGCTACTTTATGGAAGTACCTGCATCAGTGGTTCTCAAACTTTCCATAAACTTGCGACCCAGGGGCGTCTTATTTGTGGAATACAGATTCACTAAAGCATTTAATTTAAAAAAAAAAATGCATTTAATTTCCATCGTTTGCATCAACCATTCTGTGGGATGTGACGATGTGAGCATGCGCTTTTTTGCTGACACCTCTACATGCATCGATGCGAAGATAAACAAACACAACAGGAAAAGAAAACTCGTCGTTCTTCACGATTTCGGTACACACTTAAAATTTTTCGCCGAGATTCCAACAACCGAATAATTCTGCAATTTATTTTGCTGACATTCAGTCAAACAATTGCCGAGACTCAGCTAACAAATAACAGTTTGCTGAGATATCAGCTAACAAACATATATTTTGCAGAGATATCAGCAAAAGTAAATGCCGAAGTAATCGGCTGTTGGAGATTTTGACGAGCCGAAAACACGAGATAATACCGTAGAGATTTCCTGAAACTTCCGTTGGCAGCACCAAAAATCACCACCGCGAATGCGAGAAAATTTCGTTGAAATTGGTACCTCCGTATTGGTACCTTGGAAACATCCATTAACATCGTGTAGAACCTCCTCCGTTGAGAACGCGAGAAAACGGCATCGAAATTTCGCATTTTTTTTTTGTCATAACTTTATGTAATTTTAGTTTAGTTATTTGTCAACAGCAACAGGCTCAATGTAGCTCCAATGTAATTCATTTACTCAAACCGAGTCAAACGTAGTCCTGGTGGATGAACCCTTTATCAAGACAAACGAAAATCCTAGAACCTTCGTTGGCACCGTGTAAAATCTTCGCCGAAATCATGCAGAACCTCATACGCCGAGAAGGCAAGGAAAATCCGTTGGAATTTCCAAAAACTCCCGCTGGCAGCATTCAAAATCACCGAAATCACGTGGAACCTCGTCCTGCGAGAACAGTAGCATACAATCTCTTCACTGGTATCGTACAGAACCTCCTTCGCCGACAATGTAGGGAAACTCCGTCGAAGTTTCGACGGAGTTTTCACCTGTTCATGGCTGTGAGGGTTCCGGTAAATTTCAGTGGAGATTTTCGGTGCTGCCAACGGAGGTTCCAGTAAGTTTCAACGGAATTTTCTCGCGTTTTCGGTGGAGGAGGTTCTTCACAATTCTGGTGGAGTTTTCGGATGGTCGAGGTGGTTCTGAAATAATTTTCTCGAGCCAGGAGTGTAGATTTGAACGAACAACAAATCAGGACAAAACTTTGTATGCATGGATGCATGTATTACATTAAATGCATTTATTTTTTTTATATTACAATAAATACACCTCAAGTGATCTTCCCCTAGCTCGCAACCCACCAATATTGAAGACAGACCAATAGCAACCGGTGGAAACTAACGATTTAAATTGACTTACTACTTGACTAGCCTAGCTTGGTCCCAAGTACATAAGCGTATCCCATTCTAGTCGAAATTCTAGTACTACACTATGTTTGTTTGATTCGCTATGAAAGTTTGACAGATAAAATGAGGGGTTCGTGGATTTTCCTATATATCTAGGGGTACATCGATTAGCTTGGGACCGAAGATAGTACCAGAGCTGAGCCAAAAAGTAGAGCACGTTTCTTCGGGACCTTAGAAAGTCCTCTACGGTTAGAACCACCGACGAAGTAGAACCAACCGGTGAAAAAATTTCCTAAAATTTTGACCCTGAATTATCTGAACTATCCTCAGAATTCAATAGCCTCAAAGTTCTTCTTGGAATTTCCTAAGAACCCTCAACTCTACTCAGTGCTTATTTGGAAAGTTAATTAAAATTGGACCTTGAGCAATCGCCTAGAGTTCTCCTCAGCGGAACTTTAAAATTCTACTAAGAACTCTTCTTAATTTTCACCAAGAGCTCTCCTCACAATCACTTTGAAATTCTTTTCATAATTGCCTTGGAGATCTAGTCAAAATTCTACTATCGCAAATCTTGTTCCTTTTGTGTTATTCCTAGATTTTTTTTAATGCTCCTAATTTTTCAATCGGCAAAATTATGAAAATTCAGGATTTGAAAACATTCCAAAGGCCACAATTTTAATATTTTCAGGAGAGAGGACGAAGTTTCTTTTTCGATTTATCGTCGCAATTCACGATATTTTCCCGGTGATTTAGAATTACCGGCTTTTTCCTGGTTTTCCCAGTTTTCCAATGTCACCCTGATAAAGGGGATTGATCGTTGCAATTGAAGATTGCAAAGATTCTTGCCTGAAATTATTAATTATTTTGTTGGATATTTGTTTTAACGTTTCAACATTCGAATTTCTATCTTCCTCGATAAAAGTTTTAAAGTTTCAGGGATGCAGTTGCAAAATCATCTTCAGAACTTTGTCACCCGTTGAATTGCTTTTCCTGGTAGTGCAACAACTAGACTATATTGGCACATCGTAAAGCATGGCTGGTTAAAACATTTCAAGACCAACAGTTGAAGTGGCCTCAACTCCATTTTGTAAACAAACCTTGGAAGGCCATTTTCTCGCATTTGCTGAGTTTCAGCTAAGCATTATCCGAGACTCAGCAATCAAATGTCACTTTTGCTGAGATCTAAGTGAAAAAAATTTTTTGCCGAGATTTGCACAGCCGAGCTCGGTAGAAAAAAACTAAGTGTATAGGTTTCAAAACGGAGCTCTGGGCTGGGAATATGAGAATATTATAAGTTGAGTTTTGGAAGCGTTGGGAGAAATTTTTCATTTTTGTAAACAAGAAGAGAAAATATCTAAATTGTTTTGCAACCCGCCACAAATTACACGAAGAGTTCTTCCTTTAGCGGAAATACTTGTGTCATCGACGAACAAAGATTTGCGACAACCAGGGCTTGAAGAGGGAACGCATTCTGCCTGTGACTGCATGAACTTGTACATTTTCCGCATTCATCATTCGCAGTGATCGGCATTCACTGAACCTGATGAAAAAACAGTCGCACTGGATTGTGCTTTGTGCAGTTGCTTTGCAGATGCCGATTTTTAAATTCATTCCTTCTGCTTTGGTCAAGTTGATCGCCAACTGCGGGAGCTGTAAATTCAGACGGATTACCTATCGGCTACCGCACGGAAGCATTTCGCACACACATTATTTTCCTTTCCAGTGTGAAATAGCAGCGCTTGGAATATATACGTATGATACGATTCATCTCGATGATATCTTTTTTTATATATCGGCAGTCATATTAAGCGGGTTAAGCGTTGGAAAACAGCGATCCGCGACGCGGATTTCGCATAAATGAAGGACTCCCGCACGATTAGGCAAACAATTAAACTTGTCAAATACCACACAATATGAGTATTTTTGGAACCGGTGTGACATGTAGATGCAGGAAATGGAAGTTTGACGCCATTTTGGAATCCAAGATGGCGACCTATGTTTGCTATAAAACTGTGAAAACTCGTCAAACATTATGCAATATGAGTATTTCCGGAACTGGTGCGGAATGTAGATGCCAGAAATGTATGTTCGACGCCATTTTGGAATCCAAGATGGCGACTTCAGGTATAATAGAATACTATAAATACTCGTCAAAAACCTTACAATATGGATATTTCCGGAACCGGTGTGGAATGTAGATGCCAGAAATGGATGTTCGATGCCATTTTGAAATCCAATATGGTGACCTCCGATATGCTAGAACACTATGAATACTCGTCAAATACCATACAATATGGATATTTTTGGAACCGGTGCAGAATGTAGATGCCAGAAATGGATCTTCGACGCCATTTTGGAATACAAGATAACGACATCCGATGTACTAGAACACTATGAATCTGCAAATACCATACAACACGGATATTTCCGGAAACAGCGTAACTTGTAGAAGTCGGAAATGGATGTTTGATACCATTTTAGAACTCAAGAAATCTATTAAAATATTAATATTTACGGAGCTAACGTGACTAAACTCGTCAAATGTCATACGATGATGATATATAAGAACTCGGCATGACATTAATAAGTCAAAAAATATACAAACATATACTCTTCTTCTTCTTCGCATTTCAAGCTTATTGCTTATCGCATATTAGCTTATTTCGTGCTCTCAACTTAGTGTTCTAGATGCACTTCCACAGTTATTAATTGAGCGCTTCCGATGCCTGTACCATTTTTGCAGTAGTATAATTGTGTGGCAAGTCCAATCATACTCTATGCCCAGGAAAGTCGAGAAATTTTCCAACCCGAATAATTCCTAGACCAGACCGGGAATCGAACCCAACCACCTCCAGCATGATCTTGCTTTGTAGCTGCTCCTTATCGACTGAGCTAAGGGAGGCCCCAAACATCTACTCTACTACTTGTTGAACTCAAATAATAGAAGTAATGGAAGGGTGATGATTTAATGAACTTCAAGGCAACGTGCAATCATTTTTAACAAGCATAGAAATAAAAAACCTAAGTAGAGTAGACTTAGGTTTTTATGTATCTGCTTGTTAAACAATGATTGCACGTTGCCTTGAAGTTCATTAAATCATCACCATTCCATTACTTCTATTATTTGAGTTGGTTGGTTTATTTTGATAGTGAGCAAATCTTCTAGGGTGTTTTCACCCAAGGATGTGCGCTGATTTAAAATCGTTAACGCCAGAGCACTGAAAGCACGTTCCACTGATACTTGCATCGATGAAACGGCCTAAATTACAGCAGCTGCTTCAAAGAGATCCTTTTGCATGATTTTCTTCTGTACCCAGTACTCCCAAACGTTGACATGGTGTGGTTGTCGCAATCCAACATCCAACACACTTAACTGTTCTGGAAGCGTTTTGTCTGGGATACATTTCGGGTCTCCGCTTGAACCTGCTAGACAGCCTCCAAACATGGCCGCTAAAAAACTGTCCAGTTCATCCTGTTGAACAGCTGGCTCAGTAAACGTGGCCTGCTGAGTGCAAGGTCTGAAATCCGTGCGAATGTATTTATGATGAATTTCTAAAAGGTAGAAGTTAATAGGTTGACAATTTAATAAAAATAAAATTTATTAAACAATCCTATATGAAAAGGCACTATAGATTCATTCAAATACTCTCATTCTGATAAACAAAAATCATATTGATTCTTGAATGTTGTTATTCAAAAACCAAACATTGTTCTTTCAAACCAACATATTATTTTTTAGCATCTAACACACCAACCACTTTGCTCGATGAATGCCGTTCATTGACTGTTTTTTCGGACATTCCCAACCCAAAACGAAAAAAGGAACCTGAATGAAATCAAAATGGGAATGAAACCAGAGCGAAAGGGAGCGACTGTACGGGAGAGGATTTTGAAGAAGAGAAAGTGGGAATGCTTTTTGGTATCTATTCGCTTTACTGTGCATCGGTATGTATGAATGCAAAGCGTAGTGTGGGGGTATTGAATGGTATACAAAGTACCGCACATAAGGGAGTGGTGAAATTGAATTCATACTGCTGCTGTCGTTCGCTAGAAAAAAGGAACGATCAGATGCCCTGGCGACAACCCTGAGTCAAATCCGGGAGGTCCAAAGTAAAAATGTTATACAATATTGGCCTATGAAAGCTGCTACCCTGAGCAACTCCAGCTCTGACAGGTAGTCGAACAGATTTTCAAATATTTTTAAAATAATTTTGAACTAATTTCATTATATAGAGTGGAAAAATAAACTTTTTTGACAAGCAAACCTTAAAGCCAAACACATGCATTGTCTATGTCAAGAAGAGCAACACGAGTTGAGCAGATTTCAGATATGTTTGTACGAATTAAATTAGTAACTCTCAAGAGTTGATAAGTACTTGAATGGCGAAATCCAAACTGCTCATCTGCAATTGAGTTCGTATTGATGTGAAGCATCATTCTATTAAAAATTATCTGTTAAAAAAGATTACTGATTGAAGAAAGCAAACTTATTGGATGGTAGCTGGAAGCTTCAGCTGGATTTTATCCTGCTTTAAAATTGGAACAACTATTGCATTTTTCATTTATAAGGAAAGACAAGATACTCTCCGAGCCTCTCGCGACCATCTTGCTAAAAGATATGATAATGCAGATTTCAAAAATTTGCAAAAACTATACCTCTATTTCTCAATCAAAGGTTTTATTATGTTTTTCGATGATTTTACGAAGGATCAAAACTCTAGGGCTACTCGATAGAAGGATTATATTAAATATTAAAATTAAACATATATAGATATATGGAAGTGGTTCAAATAGGTATAAATTTCGACTTTTTATCCCTCACAGTAAAACTCAACTTAATTAAAACTACTTCATTCGAAAGATATAAGCGTTTTAAAATGTCTTTCCTATACCTTACAGTGCAACATTTTAAAATTTGCATCATCAAACCTTTTTTCTAGAAGGCCGGTTTTAGAGTCCTATAGGGTTGGTGGATGCATAATTGTTCCATGTGTATATTAATCTTCATAGCACATGGGACAATTGTGCGTTCACCATTCTTGTCCACCTGAACAACTTGATCGAAGACAGCCGCCTTCTACCTAGGCGAAACCGGGATGCCGAGTTCGTTTAGTAATTTATTTTGTTGATGTTGATTTCAAAATTTTGCACGCATTTTAAGATTGGCTAACCCCGTAGAAAGTATAGTAATTATCATCACTTTCACAGTTCATCTATTATCCACGGGAGCTAACTTTGATGCGCCAATTAAAGTTTAAAAAGTCTAACATAAATAGTCAAATGCCTAATAAAACTCTGAACCCATTTAGCACACAACCGACGTCAAGGCGTTACGTTCCTATTAACCCTCAAAAACCGTCTTCTCCGCTCTGTCACACACCACCCACTGACTTGTCAAGAACAGCTGCTGTGTATAATATTTCATTACCCATACCAAAGCAAAGCGGGATCTCACGAGCCCACAGTTTTGTACTCCATAATCACAACAAATAAGCAGCAGGCTGACAGCCTCTTCCTTTTCTACCCGTTCCAGTATTTTGAAATCTGTCAAAGTGGATCCATTTGGTGTTTCAGACATGATCAAATTCCTGGTAAGTTACGTGAATTGTAATTATTAATATTTAATTTGGTGCGATTGGGCCTTAGAAATTTTCTATTAATTCGAGACTTCACTAGAACCAGTCGGCGAAAGGGATTGTGTTATATAAGCAAGAAGTGCGCGAAATAGTTATTTTTAACCCGCGAGCGTCTTGAAACAAAAATCGTTCACTTTCGCATCGACTTAAAATGTTCGACCGCTAATCAAGTGGGATTATTTTTTACTCTTATTGATGATGATTCCTTTTTCTAATTACGACCGATTTCAGCTGACCTTTGGCGCCGGTGTATATACTGGTATATACATCACGCAAAATTTCGAGGTACGTACTAATTGAACATCACATGAACACATCAAAACAAGCAACAAAGTATTCTCCGTCTTCACAGGTTCCTCGGGTGGACGAACCAGCGAAATTATGGGATAAAACCTCCGAGAAAGTGAAAGACTTTTTGGACCAGCACAAAAAGCCCTAGAGACTTTCTTACGAGTGGAAGGGATCATAACTACGATATTTTTATAAACGATTAAATTATAATAACTTGTTTACGTTAGAACAAAATGCTAATGCTTTTAGAGAGTCCTGCTGCGGCTAGGGATTGTTCTTTCATTTTACCTCATTAAATGCTACAAATTATCGTTTAACATCAAACTATGCCTTGTTTTCGTCCATTATCTTGATTTCCCACTTGTTATTATTTTGAGATGAATTATAAATTATTATCTTAAAAAAAGAAGTTAAATGAACATTTACAGTAGTGACATACCACCTCCGGAGTACTCCAGCCGAGCTTGCGGATCCGCAAAGGCCAACCAATCCGAGGCATGCGTCGGCAGCAATCCCATGCTATGACACTTGTACAAAGCCAAGCCAATGTTAACCAGATTTCCCAAAAAGTAGACAAACTTCTGGCCGGTCGCTTGAACTCCTTCAATTACCTTGAATGTTGCTCCAGTCGACAGCATCGCCTTAATCGGTCTTATGAACATCATCACCACCATCATGATAGGAAAGATACTGATGGAACTTCCGGACATGTACATAATCAGCAGGTTCATGGGGAACTGTTTGATCGGGCCCAGCGCAATGTCCCATGACTTTTTCAGGATCAAATGGCTTTGGTCGTTGTCTCGAGCCACCTCACTGTGAACCTGACCAGCCGAGGGATTAAATCCCGGTGGAGATGCAAAGTCAGCACTGCCGCGGGATCTGTTTTTGGAGAACGATAAGGATAAGCAGAGCGTAGAAGAGGAAAAATATGAAATACCTTACCTAGTGTTAAAGTCCAGCTGCCACTTAAACTTTTTGCTGGCCACTTTGGTAGACATTGTTGATAAAAGTTCAAACTGAACACCGAATGAAACAGTAATTTAGTATATTTTATCAAAAACTAAGCGATCAACTTAATTTTGATTGAAAATCTCAAAATCACACGATACTTTGCAAATGTAGACTCTGTCAGTGCCACTGTCATCTCTTTTGACAGATTAGCGTTACGGTTCGCATATAGGGTGGTACTGAAGTACAAAATACTTTTAGGCTGTGAACCATTTGCCGAGATAAATTTAACTCTTTTTTTTTTCCTTTGGTTTGTTTTTTCCGTCGATCTTGTTTTCCGTGCTGAGCACCAATGCTACCGACGTGCCAGGAAGGCAGCTCCCACACCTGGACCCTATAGTCGCTATATTCATTTCAATATATTATAGACCAACAATTGAAAAAGGTACTATCAACTTTTATAAACAAAACGTTGATTATTCTTGAATCGGCAATCGAAGGTAAATTACCAGCATCATCGGTTAGGGGAAACTTTCCACAACCAAAAGATCGCGTTAGTTTGTGTAGGCGAGCCTTGAGTCACGAGAAAACGGTTTCCGAAATTTTGTTCGCAATAGCTGATGTGCTCTTTTCTTTTGTTGGTCGTGATTTGCTCGATTGGTTCCGCTATTTGACAGCTCAATTGGTTCCCGAGATTCTATCCGCCAGACTATGAATATAGCGACTATACTGGACCCTACCTATCGACCCATCAACTCATGAACCGGGGACCAACGGCTTTACTTCCCATCCGAAGGAAGACGTGATCAGAGATGTTATGCCTCAGAACATCCCGGCGGCGCCGACTGGTATTGAACCCAGGCCTGCTGGGGTGAGAGGTAGTCACGCTTACCACTACACCACCGGTGCCGTTATAAATTTAACTCGTGCACGGATAGAAATCCCCTTATACCTTTTGGCAAATTTCCATTGCTGATTATTCATAAAATGTATAATCAACTAATAAGCAGACGCCTTGCAAAAAGTTAATAAAGATCATGTGTCAAATGAAATGTATAAATGGTCACACATACCGTTTATGCATTCTTATAGGACGTATGTGGTTTGTCTTATGGAATGTATAAGGCTGATGTTTTGGCAAAAATATATAAGTGAAACACATGAATAAAGTAATTAATTTTCGTTTCGTGTGGTTAAAAGTGACATTTCGAAAGTTATTTTCAATGTTCGAAAATCCCCGTGCTGTCGATCGACCGGTTTTCTACCCACGGTTGTCAAAATTTAACTTCTTGTCTGTCAGAAATAACCATGCTCGGATAGCAGGGTTCATCGATAACTTTCCATCTGTCAAATTTTAACAAAAAGTTAAAAAAAATTCGCCCAATGGTTCAGAGCCATTCCCCAGAAAAGTATGCCATGTATTAGATTGACTATTTTTGTTTATTATAGTCACTCCTGGAATATTTTTTCGCGTATATTAAACGAAGAGAAAAACTTCTTAATGGATCAAGGGCTTTTCCCTTCTTTGAAAATATAAGAAAAGGAAATAATTAATTCTTTTGATATACGATAAAGAAGGGAATATTCCCTTCGTTTAATATATAAAAGAGAACATAATTAATTCGTTAAATATATGATAGAGAAGGGGATATTTTCTTTCTTTGAAAATATAACAAAATGAAATAATTAATTCTTTGGGTATACGACAAAGATGGGAATATTCCCTTCTTTTAATATATAAAAGAGAACATAATTAATTCGTTAAATATACGATAAAGAAGGGAATATTCCCTTCTTTTAATATATAAGGTATATATATATAATCAATAGTTTTTCTCAAGGGATTCGGGGTAATGCCAATTTGGGATAATAACACCGACGAAATAATAACTTGTGGAATAATGTTATAAATTTGTAATCGGTAGTTCAACGTTCCATGCACAGATTTTTTAATCCATCACGAGAAATTCTTCAACTCAGGTCGAAAAATTATTCCATAAGGTCTAAAGGCCCACGCACATTAGATCCGGATCGGACGCGTTGCGGCAAAGTGACAGCTAAATCTATTGTCTAACTGTCAAATTTACGTCAACGCAACGCAAACGGATCTAATGTGGGTGGCCCTTTTAACAGTTTCCCACTGGTTGAATTGGATTGCATAATAGACCCTTTGACTTTTTAAATGATGAACGAAGTGCTCGAAAACTTGAAGGTTGTCATTTTATAAAGAGCTAAAAAATTGTTTGGAATTGATAAATAAGTACATAGTTCCCTAAAAGTATCATCAGTGTATTATCAAAACAAAAAAAAAGAAAAGTGAAAATTACTAATTTCATCATCTTTTCTGGGGAATGCTTTTCTGAGGAATGGTACATTCTGGGGAATGCTTTTCTGGGGAATGGTACATTCTGGGGAATGTTTTTCTGGGGAATGTTTTTCTGGGGAATGTTTTTCTGGGGAATGTTTTTCTGGGGAATGTTTTTCTGGGGAATGTTTTTCTGGGGAATGGAATTCTGGGGAATGGTTTTCTGGGGAATGTTATAGAATCATATTTGACTACACAGCAAAAAAAAATGTAATATCGATCAACGTAATTCAAGCTGATGTATGAAATAATGATGTAATAGCAAAAAGCAGATACAATATTACATCAATGGATGTAATTTTGTTCGCAAAATCGATGTACATCGTACAATGTGATATTACACAATCGATGGATTGACCTGGTTGCATCAGTTTCGATGTAATATTCAACAACTTTTTTTGCTGTGTAGTTATCCATAAATTTTTATTTCGACAGAATGTTATAATGGCAATATTCCATGATTTTTGCGAATTAAGGACTCCTTTCGGCAAATATTCGAGACCTGATTCGAGAACATTTCTAAAATGGATTGTAGCTGCAACCAAAATGATAAATATGAGGATAAATACAGTTAAATCATCGAATTATAATTTGTATACACTTACTTCAAGGTTCTTGATGAATTATTCTATTATTATCACTATTCTGCTTAACAACGTAATTTTAACTGTAGTAAACAATACCGTGGGAATGTGAAAAATTGCTGGTTGCTGGTGACGAGGCTGGTGATTGCTGGTTGTTCAGTAAAATCAACCGGTGATCACTCGTGTTTATTTCAGTTACCATGTGGACGTAATTTGTGTTGAGCCCCGGTTTCTTTCAAATTGTATCATTTTTTATGTACGGTCCATATATTTGAAATGACGTTTCACATTTCTCTAGTGATGGCGGATTTTCATTCGAATTATTGATTAATCGATTAACGAACCAAAAAGTAAAATATTTGTAATCGGTTATATCTAAAGAGCCTAAATTTATAAAAAGGCGACATGTCAAAATTGGAACAATCGATTGTCCGTCAAAGTCATAGGAAAAGTCATTCCAATCGAGCAGAAGCCCTGTCAAATCGATAAGATGTCGTCCAGGATGTCGTCTCTTTATAAATTCAGGCTCTTTAGCTATATCATGCCGATATAAGCATTAACTTCTCCAGAGGATCATCACCGATCCTTTCAAACTTGTGATGCACTCTCATTGGTGGAAAATGGCAGCCCGAAAAAAAAATTACAGTGAAATTTTCAGTGGAAACAATGCTCTAACATTAATATTTATTGTCGACAATAAAAATGATTGTTATAATGTTGTACTCTTCCGAAAACGGCAAAACTGCTACCTAGTTGTACAATGAATGTACATAATAAAATGTTGTTACAATGATTTTTATCGTATTTTTCATTTATTTTATTGTTAACATGATTCGATCATGAACAATAATGAACAACTCTATTACAATAAAAATTGTTGTTACATTAAATATTGGTGTATTTTCATTGTGGGTTACTTCACGAACAATAAAAATAAATCTGATTGAAGCATGCAGACTATGAGAGGGTCAGCAACACTGCCAATGTAATTAAGATAGGCGCTGCTCGTATGGCTCTGGCTTTGACAGTTCGTTTGGTTCAAAACCAGGCAGTCCGCGTCCGCTCATATCTTATCCTAGACCCTCTCTAAAGCTTAATGGAGACCTTTTCCGTGCAGTAAATAATCATACAATAATAATAAAAAATTCCACCACTTGAAGATGTCAGGAAGGAACTCTCAGGTGGAAGCATATTTCATGGGCGATTCTCTCCAGTCGAATGCATTAACTTATCAACGACGCTCAACCACCAAGGAGACGTGACCTAGGGATATCGAGCGCAGGGGAGTTGGCCTGCATTTCTCACAAGTTCCGGATCGAATCTCGATCCATAACCAGTAAAAAAGGACCACCCGTAACAGACATACCACCCCCTTCCCTTCCCGGGGCAATGTTTTATTTTTTCGATTTATTTTTAAAGTCGATAAAGTAGATCTGTCAAGCCAACACATACACTCTAAAGTACACTGTTATTTTTTTTAATCAATAAATTCACCAACCAACAGTAAAATAACAATAATATATAATGTTATTGAAAAAAAAATATATGGGAAAATCACGAAAATTTCATTGTTAAGATACTTAACAACCCCCCTTTTTTATTGTAAATTTTCCATTTACCATGAAATTTATTGTTTTGTACAACATAAATCAAGGTAAATTTATTGTAGACGTAACAATATAAATCATTGTTAAGACAATAATTTTCGTCTTATTGTTACATTGTTTTTTAATGTATTTTTGTTGTTATTTTTTTTCGGGAGCACAGCGAACAAAAAAAATCGATTGGTTGTTAATCGAGTAATTAAAAAATGGGACACCTCTGATTTTGGTGTGTTTGTTTTGATAAAAATGAGCGCAAAATTTCATCTCTACCGAGGGGGCAGCAAAATCACAAAATTACCTTGAATACGGGGGGTATTCATTGGATGAAAGGGACCGTGAAAGAGGACACTAAAATAGAAAGTTTTTCTTCCGACAGTTTCATCTTAGTATTCAGGTATTCATCTTTGGTAAAATGTGTTTTTGCTGGAAGCAACCAGCAATCCATTTAACTGGAAATTAAATCAATTCTAGATAGAGCTGGAATTAGGGCGTAACAGATTTTGTAAACAATAACTTCTCTCGATGATTTCTAGAAAGCCAAGGCTCGCCCACACAGCAAAAAATGTAATATCGATAAATGTAATTCAAGCTGATGTATGAATAATGATGTAATAGCAAAAAGCAGATACAATATTACATCAATGGATGTAATTTTGTTCACAAAATCGATGTACATCGTACAACGTTATATTACACAACCGATGGATTGACCTGGTTGCAGCAGTTTGGATGTAATATTCACAAACTTTTTTTTCTGTGCGCTCAAATCAACGTGACCATCGGGACTTCCCCTTCCCGTTGGTTATATTGGTTGGCGTGGGGGTGACTTGGGTTTCGAGAAATCATCGAGAGAAGTCATTAGGCCGTATGAATAAAAAGAGTTTACTTTACTTTCCCTTGCTTTTCTTACGGAAAAAGTAAAGTAAACGCTTTTATTCATATGACCTATTGTTTACACAAGCTGTTACGCCCTAATTCCAGCTCTATCAAGAATTATTGGTGTGCAGGAACAACTGAAATTCGTGCTAGTTGGTTAAAAAAATACCATTAGCCCAGAATGCCGACGCTTAGCCCTAATCAAACCAACGCTGTCAACACGGTCACTGTCAAAAATCGATTTTCGCTGCCAACCGCACGAGAGCAAAACAAAAATCTTTCACTCTCATTCGAAAGGAGGATCATCGCATAATATTTCGCGAGAAGTTTTTGTCGCTTTATCGCAAAAACTGGTCAAATTTTTCGTTCGTCCTCATCCGTCGTCCGTCGGTGTGTTCCGGGATCTGTGCAGCAGGAATTTCCAGTGATCTGCAATCGCGTACGTGTGTGCTGATGCGTTGAATTAGTGTCGTGCGTGCAGAATATTCCGGTCCGGGTTCCCGTTCGCCACAGCCACAGCAGTTTGAACTCGTCATCATCATCATCATAGCTTTGCCAGCGTAGTTTCAATTTTCACCCTCTTCTCCATATCAGTAGCACCAGCAGCCGCAGCAGCAGCATAAGAAGAAATGGTAAGTGAGTGAGAGCACAGCTAGCCCGATCGATTTCTGACCCCCTTCCGAGTTTATCACAGCTTCTAGGGGAACGGTAGAGGGTGGGGTTTTTCTCATGGAAATCCTTGTTTATTTGATTTGTTCTAACTTTTAAACATGGATGGTGTTTGTACTTTTTTTTTCTTCTCTTTTAACAGTCTTTCAGCGAGAGATTAGCCGGGTTGATGGCCCGTCCCGGCCAGGATAACGTTCCTCGAGATGACGTACCCTGGCATCTGAAGTACGGCGGACGTGCCGTGGGAATTGTGGGAGGATTCTGTAAGTGTGTATAAATACCTACAACAAAGCTCATAAATGTCCATCTTCGATCGCGTGTTCCGACAGGGTTGGTAGGGGTAGAGAAGTGGCTGGTTGATAAATTTGATTAGGGTATCGTCGAAATTGGGGCTCCGCGGTAGACGTGTACTAACAGTACCTAATACTGTTGGTTGTTGTTGTAGTTGGATGTTGGCGTTTGCATATGGACGTGTGTAGTATGTGGCACAATATGAGCATACGGAAAAAGGAAGACCCACTGGCAAACACGACGAGAGAATGGAAAGGGAATTACCGTGATTAGTTGTGATTGGACCGGTGGCAATTTTAGCGATTTGAAAGTGTGCGCGAGTAAGGAGACCAATGTTGAGTGCTGATTATAGTGGTGATAATTTACAAATTGGCAAATTAAGGGCTCCGAGGTGTTAGTTTATAAATCCGACCAAGGGGAAGAAAGTTATGGGAGTGAGATTATTGAACGCTATGTGGTAAGCAACAATTTCTGGTCCATGGTGGAGGGGGGGGCGTAAAAGCAATCGTGTTTATCGTCCTGCTCAGTTCCGACTTTTTTTTTACTCTAATGGCAAGGACGAAAGGATTATGTAACGACGATACGCAATGGGTGGATGATAAAAGGGACAAATGTATGTTCAATGTTTAAAAAGGGGAGTACCTATATATCGATTTTGACGAAGTATGTTCGATTTTCGTTCCCATCTTCACTGCCAAGCACTTACTACTGGCTTTCCATCACACGAAAAAGTGATAGGTAATCTGTAGCTAGTGGAATTCGAAGAAATAAAAAAAAAATATGGTCAACCTAGCACATTGCTAATTCCAATTAATACCTCGAGAGAAGAAACATTGAGATTCGCTAATGATTCCGCTGATGTGACGTTTCTAGACTGCTACTCTTTTCTTGTGTACTTTCTTGATAAGATAAGAAAGACACGGACGCACGACAAACAGATAGATCTTGGCCTTAGCGAATGATAGTCGTGTATTATTTCTGGTGAATCATCACGTCAAATTAATTAAATGATGTCTTTAAATTCGCATACAATAGTTAGTTATATAAAGTTATAAACTTACGCCGATTTATGTTTAGTTTCTACTTGAAATAATACGATGAGTCCTTCATTTTTGTAACCTATCAAAGGAGATATAGATAAGTTTACATATTGATTTAACAAATTGATTATTCAAATTATCTATGCAAAACTTGGATTCCTATTTCGTGTAGTTAATATGGGAATTAAGATTTTTATTAAGAACCACAGTCGGCTGTACGGCATTTCGCGGAAGACCATTATCCGTGGAATGAACTATTTTGGGGAGAACCATTCAGCGGAGCTCCATTCTGGGCGTCCGTCTCGTGGGATTTCTTTTGTAAGGAATGCTTAAATCTGATTTAAATAATTTCTTTAAACATGAAGTTCTGTCGCTATTCTACGTAAGGATCAAATCGGGATAATGAACCTCGCGTGAAAGTATAATTTAGTGACGGCCCAAGTGCTTTTTTGTAGTTTGATGTCTCCGATGATGTTTGAAATATCGTCGGACGCAGTGGTTTAAGCTGGTGTAATGGGCAGCGTCGTCGGGTTTGAATGGTTATAAATCAGAAGTAGTTTGTTGTGATTTAAAGGGTTTTGTGGCTTTACAGCGACCGGTTTTGCTTACTGAGCAGAACACAATGCATTTAATATGAGGCCTTTTCACTTTCAAGATTCGTTAGTCGCTTTATTTCTCAACATGAATACATCACTTTAATTCAGCGTATCGTTTACCTAAAGGTTAAGTTTTCTTTATTAGGGAGGCTTTCAGCCTGGGGCTGGTTCGCCTCCGTTGTTTGCCAAAAATCCTCGATTTTCACAACCAGAGTAGTGAATTGAAAAACGTCGATAACTTCTGTATGATTTTATAGGAAATGCTTGAGAACAATCAAATAAAATCCTGTAAAGTTTTGAGCGAATTTACAAAGACAAATTATGAACGCAGAATCAAATTCAAGATCCAAACAAAATCCTGCTGTCGTAGTAATGACTCATTTAACCTAATGATCTCTTCGGGTCAATCGCGTTTGGTTTTATGCTTAACACCAATCTTGGGTCATCTTTTTGTCAGTGTGCCGATTGTGCCGGTCATAGAGCAATTATTGTTTGTAAAATACCCATCACGGCAACGCGGTATTTCTGACACTTTGAATGTTTTGGTTTCAAATAGCAAGGATAAATCGGATTGAGGATAACGCGGGAAGTGGCGGGTGTGCGAAATTTCGGAGTTTTGTGTTTATAGGGTAATAAATGTCTTGTGTTTTAGTGTTTTATAATGGCAGCCCAGAACCCTAGCTTTTCGTGATGTGAAATGCGTCGGTCTATCAGCGGCCGGAGAGTTGGAACCGGTGGGGTTCATTGTTGGAGACCGACTATAGAGGATGATGAATAGACTGCTTTAGTTTGTTTTGTGTGATTTGCAGCATTATTTAAATTAAGAGTGCTAATGGGGTCTGCTTAACTGCCTCTTTCTCTTGAGCCCACTCTAGAACCTACATTTCGTATTTAGATCTATAAGTGAACTGCTGGTCTGAGTTTCTTTGGTATATTCAATTAGAGGACGTCCCTGAATGTACATTCAAACTGCACGTAATGTTGTCTCCAACTTCAATGACAGTTGTCTTAGTTAGTTAGTTTAAATGATCTTTATTTTAGTTTAACTTGGACGATTACCATATAAATTTTTACTAAGTGATTTAATTGCTTTCTTCATCTTTAGGTATGGGCAAAATTCAAAATTTGTTTTACAGAATTAGTCCTAGACTTAGTACACGGTCGACCACCTTGGTGGGATTGGTTTGTTTTGTTTTTAGAATTTGAAGAGAAACTACTTAATACTACTATTTACAGCTTAAAACTAACCTACTCTACTATATACACTTAACCTACTATGTACAAATTGCTTATTAAAGCATGTTCAGAAAGATTGCATTTTTGAATAAATTTAGTTGTCATATCATCAATTTTGGAATCTACTTTGGGAATTTCTGCCTCTTGATGGAGGTCTGCTATTCTTGTGTCGAATGGACGATCTAGGATCATCCTCAACACTCTATTCTGTGCAACCTGGATTTTGTTCCTGTGGGTCTGAGCGCACGATTCCCACACCGGGGCGGCATAGAAGATCGCGGGGGCTATGATCTGTTTGTAAACAGCCAGTTTGTTTTGCCTTGAGAGGCGGGATCTGCGGCAAATGAGCGGATACAAACACCTAACCAAGGCGGAGCACTTAACTAGGGTTTTCTCTATGTGCGAGCGGAACAGGAGCTTCTCATCGAACAACATCCCGAGATAAGTAACATCAGTGGACCACTCGACCCTTGTACCATCCATTATTACGGTACAGGAGGGAGACGGTTTAAGTTTTGGTGATTGTCTGTGAAGGAACATGATCGCTTGGGTTTTCGAGGCGTTGATTTTGATTTTCCACGTGGTGGCATAATCAGTAAAGGTGTCAAGGCATCGTTGGAGCTTGTTCGTAATTTCACGAGGCATCCTACCCTTGACGGCTATCGCGGTGTCATCTGCAAACAGAAAGAACACGCAACCGTCTCCTAGAGGAGGATGTCCGACGTGTAGATGCTGTAAAGCAGTGGTCCCAGCAGACTCCCTTGCGGAACACCTGCTGGGATCGGAAATTGTCCCGAAAGGGAACTATTCAACGACACCCTGAACGACCTTTGCTGGAGATAGTTACGGGTGATTTTCACAAGGTATGGTGGAAAGTTGGAGTTACAAAGCTTGTATATAAGTCCGTCGTGCCAGACATTGTCAAACGCCTTTTCGACGTCTAACAAGGCCATGGCTGTGGACTTGGATACAGCTTTGTTACTTCGGATGTTATTCATCACCCGCACTAGCTGATGATTGGTGGAATGCCCCTTGCGGAACCCGAACTGTTCCGGAAGAAGAATGTCATGTTCCTCCACAAACTTGTTTAGTCGGCTGAGGATCAATTTTTCGAACAGCTTGCTCAGCGCTGAGAGCAGGCTAATCGGTCTGTAGCTTGACGGTAGTGAAGGGTCTTTCCCAGGTTTGCGGATCGGGATGATTTTTGCCACCTTCCAGATGCTTGGAAAGTAGTGCAGCTCCAAGCATCTGTTGAGGATGGCAGCCAGCAGCGAGTGCACCCTCGCGCTGAGATTTTTCAACTCTAGGTTGAATATTCCGTCAAACCCGGGAGCCTTCATGTTCGTACTGTGTTTCAGCGCTGAGCAAATTTGTTCCTCTGTAATCCGTTCTTCTGGAGGGACGGCACAAGGGGAGGCATCTAACGTCTGGACGCACTGCACAACCTGGTTCTCGAGTGGACTTGGGATTGTAGAGCCAAGCAAATGCGACTGGGCAATGTGCTCCCCAATTGCATTGGCCTTCTCTTCGTTGGTGATAAGCCGTTCGTCATTGACTCTAAGTGGTGGAATGGGCTTGGGGTGAGACTTCAGCACCTTGGCAACCTTCCAGAATGGTCTGGAACGGTCGTCCAGGTTCTGAACGAGCCGCCCGAAACTCTCGTTCCGGATTGAGACCATTCTGGAAGCGATCTGCCGATTCAGATCGACCATTTCGTATTTACGTTGCAGATCCCCAGTCCGCTGAAACTGGCGTCTACGAACATTTCTGAGCCGAATCAGGAGTTTGGTGTGGGAATCAATTGCTTGAAACTTACCCCTCACAGGAACTCGTCGAACGCACTCTTCGTCAGCCACGGATATGGCTTGATGGAGACCCTCCAGGGCCCGGTCGATGTCCTCCACTGTGTCGAGCGGTGGGTTGTCGTCGATGTGGCGGTCGACCACGCGTCGAAACTGGACCCAGTTGACTCGATGGTAGTCCTTCCGCTGGCACGGTGCAGGGGCCACGTTGTAGCCCAGCTCGGTCAGCACCGGTTGGTGGTCCGAACTCAGGTCGTTGACGGCAACCGGCTTGGCTAATCTGGTGTTTGCCAAGAAC